GGATGTTTTTGTCTTTTGAAACCTAAGATTACTTTGGTCTCTAGGATGATGTTCCATGCACCAGAGCTGGGACCCGCACCCCAGAGAGAAGAAGGGATGGCCACAGCTGTTCCAGTAGTATTTATGAACATGCTTGGAGTTAAGTTTTTAAGTTCAGGTTTCCTTAGAGGTAAATCTTGGCACACACCAAGTGCACGTTGCAAATTCAGTTGGTATTGGTTAGAGCTAGCCGGGCTAATGAATGGCACACCCTCCTGCCTTTCTGGCTTTCCCACTCCTGGTGGGAATTATCTGAGAGCAGACCAAGGCCTGTGGGATGGAAGGTCAGGTTTGGGAATAGACAGTGCCAGATGTCCAGGAGAAACCAGGGAGGGCGTGGGCTAGGTTGGTCCTCACTGAGGTCTAGTAAGATTTGCCATTGACAACGCTGCCTGTGAGACCGGCTGTCAAACTAACAATCCGAGATGGAAATGGTAAGAAAATAACTGAAACTGGGCTGCTCGACCTAGCAACCCCAACAAAACCTCTTCCCAGATGCTCTTCGTGGCTGGCTTCATCTGCAGCACTGGGGATGGTGAAGGCCTTTGCTATGCCTTCCACCCCCACCACTGCCACCACCATCTCCTCTGCCATCACCCTCACCACCAACACCCCTGTCACCACGACCTCCTCCCCCACTCCCACGAGTCTCAGTAACAGCAGCTCCACTACCACTATAAGCCAACACCATAGCAACACCAACAGTCTTCACTTGCACAGCTCACTGTGCCAACCCCCTCAGCAGCAGCAGCTCCTCCACGACCACCTCCTCATTCCTGCCTTCACCACCTCTGGCATAGCTGGGCATTGGCAGAGTTGGGCTGGCTGGCTGTGCTCTTGTGTGCTTTATCACATTATCTGAAAACGTGAAGAGCAAAGGGAAGAAATCTAGGGTTCGTTCCTAAAGCGTCGACAGGAAGTGTATCACAGGGCTATACCCTGCAGCTGACCGTTTCTGTTAAACACAAGCACTTTAATGGCTTCAAAAATAAAACGGCATCCAAGCACTCAGGTGTGCAATGAGAGGAGTGTGGGTTTCAGGCCAGCTTGGATTACACAGTGAAACACTATCTCACATTTAAAAAAATGTGCTTTAATCATGCACACCTATAATTCAGCACTCGGGAGGCTGAAGTAGGAGGAACATGAGTTTAAAGTCAGTGCAGGTTATGATTCTGTCTTAAGCGAATGAAAACAAACTTCAATAGCCCTGTAATACAAACAAAGTAGGGCATGTGGCCTTCAACTCACCTTCAGAAGTGTGTGTCTACTACTGTGTTGTAAAGGGCCCAGACCTCACTCTCTGCCGTAAAGGACCTAGCCCTTACCCTAATATCCCTATAAAAACATCTAGCTCCACCCACCGTCAGAACGCTGGGTAGGGAGGGAATGGCAACTGATGTAAAAGGAACTGTAGATGCCAGGCTAAGCCACTTGACTCCTCTGTGGCTGTCGCCTGCCGTGGATGCAGGGAGAAACGCATCAGTAATAGCTGCAAGGAGGAAGCAAACAACCACATCTAAGGGCTGCCAACTTAAGACGGCACTTCTCTCCTAATGAGGCAGGATTCCACTCAGTTTCTAAGAATGCTTTAAGCTCTAATCCAAATTGCTCCCCCAGAAAAGGGACAACGTTTTCCAGATCCAGCAAGTAACATTCCATGCCTAGCCCCGGGACGTGATAATTCCTGCCATGTGAAAGGTATCCCCAGGTTTGGAATCAGTGTAAAATTAATACATTAAGGGTAATTCATGTAGGATACGCATGTTTAGTAACATTTTAATGAATCAATCAGTATTTGTTGTTTGAAAGCAGAAGCTTGGGAAAACTCACCTTTTATAGGCAGCCATTAGGAGTTAGAATGTTTCTGTTTTAGTTGGAGTCATTCCAATGATCAGATTGGCATTTTTGTGTGATTACATATGAAAGCTAAATTTTCTATAACATTGAATGTTAAAAACTTATCCTGAGATTGAAATGATCCTAACACCTTCCCCCAAAGGTAGTGTCACTATAATCACTTCAGGCCTGGGCAGAATAGTAATAGCTATTCCATAAAAGCATTTCCAGTAAGTGGTCAAAATCATCACTTGAATACTTTGAATATATGAAGTAGAGATTCATTTTTATAGTGAATTTATTTCACAAAAGAACTATTATATATTTCATATGGGAAGGTCTATTTGAAGTTCCAGGAGCATGAGTTGGATCCATATATTTGTGCTGTAATAAAATCCCCCTCTCAAACAGGACACACCAAGTGTTTAACACATTAATTATCATCCTTCATCAAGCATAAAACTAATAGTCAGGAAATACAGCTGCAAAGGCACAATTACTAAGGCACTCAGAACACACCCCGAAGCAAAGAAAGCAAATGGCCCGCTTTGCATTACCAGACCTTGCTTGGCAAGGCTCTCCTAAGACAGCGTTCTCTTTCCTGCCAGAATCCCAAAGGGGCTATTTGCTTATGTAAACCTGGAGGACAAATTAATTGTGAAAACATTTATTTATATTTCAAAATACCCATTATCAATATAGAATACCATTCTAAAACTATAGGTTTTGAAAGATCATTTGGATGGAATAAAAATTTTATAAATACAGACTATGTTTACTGATGCAAGAATTCTAGATATTCAGACAGCATCATCATACTCGATCAGGGCACACAGGGAATTAATGTATTTCTCTTTTACATTTTATGACATACAATTTGATACACAAGTATGTCTATCTATAAAAAATAATGACCTGTATATAACAGGATTCTATTATGTCCAGTGGGAGTCCACATAATTATCTATCAGCTTGTGTTACCGCTGAAGGCTTAGATCAATGTCATTCTTTTCAGGCTAATGAAAGAACAGCCTATTTAATGAGTTTTTGGATACTTATTATTAATTTGACTGTAACACCATTATATTTTAAGAGATATATTTATCCTACAAGATTATGTTATAAATAAGCTATGCACTATTATTTAACTACAATTTAAGGGAGGGTCAAAGGATATAAAAGCTGTGTGCCTAGAATATTTGTAATTATGGCCTAAATCACGACGGTCAAACTTTCACTAAATTCCTGCTCAGTAATACTCTGACATAAGCAGTGTGATCCTTTCTGTAAGGTGAACAACACAGTAAAAGATCATGGAGTCTCACTGTCCTCAGCCCCGGAAGCCAGGATGCACGTGTGTTCTTTCACGCTTGGGTAACAACTTCAGCATCCTGAGTTCATACTGTCATTCATATACAACAAACTCACACACTGGAAATTTTTTAATTATATTTGAGGTTGGGGCTATTTTATTTGTCTCCTGGCCAATTTCTGTTTCAAAAGACAGTAACATTTGGTACTGGATGAAAATTAATACGCGTGAGCTTGGAACACAAGTTAGCAGTGGAGTGGTTTTGCACAAGGTCCGCGGTTCAATCCTTGGTAGTATAAAAAGAAAGATGAACTAGCAAGAACAACAGAACAATCAGGATGGCCCAGACGTGTCCCAGGCAAGGGTGGTCTGCGGTCTGCTCAGGCCAGGCTAAGAACTGCGGGAAGCCTGAGCTGTAAACGTGATCTGCCTTGCTCAGGAGGATGACGTCCTAAGCTGCTGAGCACATCTGTAAATCACGAAGAAGAAGAAAAGCAGCTGCGTCCAACAGTAACGCTGCCAGTGTGACAGAGGCTGCTTGCTGACTGTGCGTGGGACATTTGGCAGATGACACACAGACAGGATGGATAAGAAATGAAAAGCCTCTCCTGGCAAGTGTGCACAGTTGACAGAGTGAAACAGTGCATACTCAGGGGGCACTCGCCAGGGGGCATGTCCGTGAACACCAACCGAGCAACTGAGCAAGGCAGGGACTGTGAGGAACAGCTCCATGGCCAGGTGTCTCAGGGCGAGTGGATATTCCTGGGTCCCTCTTGAGACTTTCACTTTCACATAAGGTCTTTGAAGGCTTCTACTCCAGTATTTTTGTAGATTTGTAGGTGACTTGTAAACATTTAAAATCAAAGATGCATTTTAAGGCAAAAAAAAAAAAAAAAAAGAAGCAATGGGTTTTTAATGTTTTCTTAGCAAAGTGGACCCTTATAAATTGCTTGGAAAATTAGAAGTGAGTAATTTCAAGGTTTGCTTTGTTTGCTTTTACAAGTTCTTGCCTGATAGTTTTCTTTCAAATCCACAACCCAACAACAAAGCACCCACTGTTCTCCCCCCATCAATTCTTAAAATCCTTCTGGAATGAAAATCACTCTCTTATCTTGATGTGCATTCATTTCTAGCAACCATTAGGGCGAGATAATTTCAAGCCAGTTTCAACACTGAGAATCAGACACTGCACAGATCCCCTCTGAGGCAAGAATCCTTGGGTTTAATGTTGCTCTTTCAATTAGAAAATATTACTATAGTCTTATTGAAAGTTCCAATCCTATGTTGACTATAACTTCAGAATAAAGAGATAGTTTTCAGAAATAACGGAGGAAACAAATATGTCTTCTCAGATGAGCATATTCGGGTTTAATAATCAAAAAGTAGGGATGTAATTCAGTCGTAGAGCGGTGTAGGAGGTCCTTATGTCTATGTGTTGCTTTCACTGGTTAGTAAAGAAACTGCCCTGGCCTGTTGATAGGGCAGAACTTAGGTAGGTGGGGAAGATGGAACTGAATTCTGGGAGGAAAAAAGCACAGTCAGAGAGACACCATGTTGCCCTCCTCCAACAGCAGAGTATGTACAGTCTCGCATGTGCAAAGCCTAAATTCCAACCTAGGTAATGAAAAAATAAAACTAACCTAAACAAAAAGTAATTAGTTGCTTGTTCTTGAGCGATCTTGCTTCAACAATGTCAAATGAGTATGGATTATCATGATGTATAATAGCTGTCCCTGCCTTGGGTTTGCCTTGTGATCCAAACAAAACTGCCCTTTCACAGATTCGCTAGCTGTCTCTCTGGGTTTCATACCTTTAATGTCGTGAATTCATACGGTTGATAACCTTTGAAGCTTTCATGAATGGCTGCCATGGTGTGAGAAGTTTTCTCCCAAAAGTGGAGCAGAGTAGTCTGTAAAGAAAGATGGTAAGATCAATAATGTCTCAAACGCCCATTTCTGACCCTGGTCCCCAGAGAAGTAGTCTTATCTATGACTTTCCAGGTTGTCTCATCTGATTTGTACTCATCTTTGTACCTGTTTCTCCCATAGTTCACTTAGACTTGGCATATCATCCAACTAAATTCTCACCAATGCTTAGGTTGCTCCTACCAACTGGGCCTTCATCTCTCCATCTTCTTTGTCCCATTCAGTCCATTCTCCAAACCCAGGGCATTTGGCATTGTTTTCTCCTTCCTTCCTTCCTTCCTTCCTTCCTTCCTTCCTTCCTTCCTTCCTTCCTTCCTTTTTTTCTTTCTTTCTTTCTCTCTCTCTCTCGAGGGGGGGGCAATGGTGAGACAGTCTCATGGTGTGTCCCTGGATGACCTGGAATTTGTAGACCAGGATGGCCTTGAACTCACAGAGATCCACCTACCTCTGCCTCCTGAATGCTAGGATTAACGGTATGTATCACCATGGCATTCTTTAGGTTTTTCTGCTTAGAACATCTTTTCTAGGGGTTCAGGAAATACAGTAAAATATTACAGCCTCCAGTTTTCTTCCTAAACTTTGAATTCTTTGAGGAAAAGAAATTGGTTTATAATAATTTTCACTTTCATACAGTACTGAGCATCTGGTGTTTCACACTCGTTTGGAGTCATGAGCACTGAGGATAGACACAGGGCTGCACTGAAGGACCTCCGTGTCAAGAGAGACAAACCAAGGGTGCTGAATAACCACAGCATTGTGCTAAAGCAGTCCAGAGCAAGAGCTGGAAAAGGCACGGGGAAAGAAGAAAGGTATTCCAGGCAGAAAGGACCCACAAAGTAAGTGCAGGGAAATGGAAAATTCCACAGTGTGTACAGCACATAGGGACTATAGTGATGATTAAATTGCAGGGCCTTGAAGGGCAGAGAAGAGGATGCATTCAGAATCCGTGATACTCAGGTCATTCTTTCCATCCAAACACAGATTTTCCCATCATCTAAGTCTCTGGCAGTCCTTTGTTCATTAACACAGATTTACTTTGTTACCTGGTACGTTGCTAGCATGTGCGATAGGAGATTGCATCTGCTTGCTCCAAGAAGATCCACCTTCTGACACACATCCATCTTCAATTTGTCAAAGTTTTTTTTTGCAAGGCGTACTTGTGTCTGCACCTAGAAAAGAAAAAGCGAGTCTCTGAGAGACTGCAGCCTTCATGAGGTTAAAATCTGCAGGTGAGGAAAGACCCACGAAGGGCTTTTCTGTCTTACATAAGAAAACTCCATCAAAGTTCCAGGCAAGTGAGCTGCTCGGACGTTCATTCTTCAACTTCTAAAATACCTAGATAAGAATTGTGATGACCAATTTTGTAACAGGCTTACTATACAAATTATATGTTTTGCAGAATGAGATTATTAACTCTATCTCCTCAGAGCAATTACAAACTAGTCAGGAGAAGTTTGGAGATGTCCAGATGCTAAAGACTCTTGGCCCCAGCGTGTTCCAAGGCACTGGATGCTGAGTTACCACACAGTCCTCAATGGACTTCCTAACATTAACATCTTGGGTAACATTTGCTAAAATGCAGAAATTATCATGGATAAAGTCCTATTTACTGATTTCTATACTTTCTTGGGTTTTATTTTTTTCTACTAACATCATTTTTGCTCTTTTGGGAGCCAACTGAGGAATTATATCAAAGAATTTTGCCATAGCTGAAACCATTACTACCAACAGTTTTTCAATTTTTCTTTTTGATTGGTGAACACCAGGAAACCTCTCACCACCCTTGAAGCGCACTGTAGTTCAGGGAAGGAGTGGCGGCCAGGAAAGTTGTGCAGATGTTAACTCATGCACTATGCTATAAGAAAGGAGAGTTTTGACATTGAGAGGGTTGGGGAGAGAGCTGAGTCGGTGAAGGGCAGAAGTCAAGTAAAGGGGTCATGAAGCCTCATACTCCCAATACGGCATGAACCGGGTATAGTGGTTTGCTCCTAAAGTCAGCAAACTGGAGATGAAGGAGAGACGGTCAGAAGTTTCAGAACATCTTTGGATACTTAGAGCGTTTGAGGCCAGTCTGGGCTACATGAGACCCTGCCTAAATATATACATATGTATTTCTTATAAAGCCATGAAGTCAAAAGCTCCCCTCCCTCTATTCCAAAGTGTCACCATATTATATTATGGATGAGGAAAGCCAGTCACTTAAAAAAAATGACAGTCACTAAAAGTGAGTTATTTATGATGTATAAAATTGACATATATTTGATGTGTTCAACTTGGTAAATTCAAATATTAAATTATTTAACAAAATTCTTGAAGCTTAGAAACTGGGAAGATGAGTATTAAAAGCGATGCTGACTTATTACTTACAGCTTTTTCACCATAAGGTCCCAGGCAGCATACACAATGTCTCTTTCGTCCACCACTACCTCACCTGGCAGCCTAGTGCAAGGCAGGTACTGAATACATACTTGTTGAATGAATGAAGAACTTTCCTGTGCCATTTCTAAATTCCATAATTAAAGCCTTTCAAATGACTCCAGAAAGAATGATTTGGGGGCTGGCCAGATGGCTCAGTGGATAGGGACACATGTTACCAAGACTGATGACCTGAACTCAATTCCTGGACTCCTTATACTAGAAGAAGGAAACCAACTCCCACAGGTTGTTCCTGTAACCTTCATACTAGGGCTGTGGCATAGGTGTGCAAGTTTCTCTTAAAAAGAAAGTAGTGCCTTTATTTTTTTCATCAAAGTAAATATATTATTTGATATAAGTACAATTATTTCACTATCAATCATAACGTATTCACAGTTTACAAGTTTATGTGGGATTATACAATAATAGGAATAATAAGTATAAATAGAACAATTGATTTAATTTACTCACCCCATGCTGATAGTCTACTTTAGCAGTTATAATGATCTTCCCTTACTGATGATGACTTAAGCCTTCATCAGGGCAAGGGCTGAATTAGGGTAGGGCTGGCTCTCTGACTTAGTAGCCATGCTACTATGCTCCTTCAAACACTTTACCTACTGCCTGGAACCAAGAAGCCCAAAATTGGATTCTACCTAGAAATACAAGTTCCCTTTAGGCTTGTAGGCAACTGGAAAAATAATGAGGCTAAACATTTACCACCACATCGACAGAATTAATACCTACAAGAATCATGGCTACATGGATAGCTGCATACAAAATTTTCTAAGAATTCCTCTCAAGTCTCTGTCTGTAGTGCTGGAGAGACCAGCGGGCAGTAGCTACTTGTTCTCAGTTTTTCTCGCTCTGAAGACAAACATGCTGGAGATTGATTATTCTTTACTGCAGAGTGGAAACTCAAATCTCCCCTCCTGGGAGCTCTTACTGTAAGAAGAGTTTAAGAGGGGTCAACTATCATTGATGTTCTGCATCCTCTGGGAGGAGCAAAGAGATGGAAAGAACACGGGCTTCTGGTGGTCAGGGAAGAAGAGGAAATCCAGATGGACAGAATTTTAGCTGCTGAAATTTTTACTGTAGAGCACCAAGGGTCAGCATCACTCAACCAGAAGGGCCTCCCTCTTCTACTGGGATTCTGAAAGACATCTGTCCTCAGAAGGCTTTTCCTTTAAAGGGGAACAAACGTGTTTGGGACATGAGCTTCTGTGTATGTGTTCATTCAGTACATGTTATGGAGTACTTATGAGTCCGATGTTATGCTATGCATGGCAGAGATTGTCTGTAAAGTAATAACACATGTGAGCATCCTAATATAGTCACTAGATGTTTAAGAATGCATATACATTGTTAAGAGCATCCTACCATAACTTATAGTCACTAGATGTTTATGAATGAATGCACATTGTTATGATCATCCTCAGCTTCTAAGGAGAGAAGAGTTAGTAATTATAACACTACAAGAGAAGTGTAAGAATAGAACAGTCATCAGCCCCTTTTGGCAGGGCTACCAGCTCCCCAGGAACAACACAGACTTCTTATTAATTATGAAAGCTCTGCTAATAGCTTAGGCTTGTGTCTAACTAGCTGTTATAACTCAAACAATCCATTTCTATTAATTTACTTTCTGCCTCATGACTTTATTTCCTTTGTACTGCCCATCTTGCTTCCTCTGTATCTGGATAGCAACTCTGCCTCCTTCTTCCCAGTGTCCTCTTTGTCCCCTAAGTCCTGCCTAGCTATTGGCTGTTTAGCTTCCTATTAAACCAATTCAAGGGACACTTCTTCACAGTGTGCAAAAAGACTTATTCCACAGCATAGAGCTGAGACCAGAGAGAACATAGACAAGGGAATGTAGAGTGCTGCTAGGGTAGGGGCCATTGTAAGGTGCTGGCATTATGATTGCTGGGTGGCGGCATCATTGTAGGGTGATGGCATTAAAGTCCCAAGGAGTGTCCTTATTGTATCTTCCTATTGTACAATAAGGAGTGTCCTTATTGTATCTTCCTACACTTGGCACTGTGACTTTGAAGTCTCCTCTAACTCTGAAATCAGGCTTAGCCATGTGACTTGGTGCTGGACAGAGAGGCTAACAGATGTAAAGAGACGGGAAACTTGAAACCGGGAATGCCAGCGTGTTTCCACTTTCCCTCTGCCTCCTCTGTGATGGCCATGAGAACACACTCAGATTGGCCAGCTGGAGGGGTGTGAGCCACATGGCACGAAGAGACTTAAGGAGGGGGCTCAGTCATTATTAACAATCTTTCCCTGCCCCATAGCTGGCTACTGACCAGTGTGTGAGTTGCTCCGCCCCGCCCCCACTGAAACACCCTGTTAACCATAGACTTATGAGCAATAAAGAGATGTTTATTGTTGTAAGTACTTGAGTGTTCTGGTGGTTTTATTTCACAGTATGATTATAACCACAGATTATTGATGTAAACAGTCAGGAAACTGAGGGCTTCTTGGAAGAGCCAGTACCAGAGTTGGCTCTTAAAGCAAATCTACACATGCAGACGACCACCTTACTTGTATGGAAGTTCTAGATTTTTCTAATAAGATGCAAATTGGACTTTTCCCTTGGGTTCAAATTTTGATTTTTCCTTTATATGATCAATGCTCACATTCCATGAGAGAGTGTGCTTGCTTGCTTGTGTCCCTTGCTTATAACATAAAACTCATGAAGGCATATAGTTTGAAATGTGCCTCAGAGAATTTTGTTCAGCTTTTGAGGGGTAATTTTAGAAATGGAGAGGATTTCGATCTTGACCCGGTGAGTTCTGAGAGGCCATATGCTTTGTGTGTCAACAATGATTATTAAAACACTTAACGCGCTGCTGAGTTCCCAAATGTTCCGCCCTTTCCATGCCAAACAAGGAGGATGCGACAGTGCTGGGCATTTGGAATCCAGGACAACTTGTTTAATAGCTTGCGTCCCACGTCTCCTCTCTAAAACCCACTTTTTGCTAGCAGAGGACAAAACTCCAACGATCCAGCAAAGCACAGACCCCCACTGTGAGGGCAGTTTCACAAGCCTTCAGAAGCACCAGTGAGAATGTTTTCATTGTCCTTCCTCTCCATCCCATACAAATTCAATCCAATTACATAAACATCTTGAGGAGCTCCTGTGGTTTTCAAGGCTTTTTCAATTTTTTCATTCAAATAAATGCACCTTTTGTTTATTTCTTCATTTCTGTTACTCCACCTTTCTCTTCTTGTTTCCCAAACTTTCGGAAGTGATTATGCCTATCAGACTCTCTCTAGTCTGGGTCTTGTCTTCCCCGGGCAACAGAAATTCAATTTACTCAAGAAAGCAGCCATGTCTCCACTGCCAAAACAACAAGGCATATCTCTGAACTCATTCCTCCTAATGTGAAATTCTACCTTTTAGCCCCCAACTTGAACTACCCAGGGTAAAAGCAAAGTGATCCATCCTCAGTTCATTCTGCTTTGGCTAGCCTGTGGGGGCAGGGCTTCATGTTACCCCACAACCAAGTAACCGGAGCATACTTCTGTTCTTTTCCAAGGGTCTTATTTCCTTTAAGAACAAAAGAAAAAATTTCCACCCTTAATTTTAGATTTTCTTTCAGGAGATAACTCTCTCTCTCTCTTACACACACACACACACACACACACACACACACACACACACACACACACACTAAAAGGACTGAGCATGGCTACCAGTGTGAAAAGTACTCCAGTTGCAAGGTGAGTGTTGGGGGCGGGGTAACGAAAA